GTGAGACAGGTAACCTGGATAACACTGGGAGAGCTGATGCCTGGGAAATGGAGCCAGGCCACCTGCACAGCATAGCGAAGAAGCCCATTCTTGAAAATAATAACTTTACATCAATGAATATTTTCAATTATGAGCTGTTGAGGATGAGATGAGAATGGAGGGTAATCCAGAGTATTGGAATAAATTCACATTGCCACTGAAAGTAGGGGTTGCTGTCACAAAATTGTAGATGGGGGATTTGGTACCATCTTGGCATGGAGTTAACAGGGCCTTGACTGTAGCACTTACACTGCAATTAAACACCATGTCTGTCTTGTGTCAGCTAACTTGGGCTATGGGGACTGTAAAATTGAAGTGTAGATGTTCAGGCTCATGCTCGTGCCTCTGGGACCTCAACAACCCTGCACCTCCAGGTGCTTTTCCCCCTTATGACTGGAGGGGTGTTAATGGGCTACTTCACCTTGAATGGTCCCTTAAAATGTATTATTTACTTATGCTAAACAATCTGTTCTACTTTGTATTTAGCTGTGACACTGAGCATGTTTCCCAGGCCTGAAGAAGAGCTCTGTATAAGCTCAGAAACTTGTCTATCTCACCAACACAAGTTGGTCCAATAAAAGATACTGCCTCACCCACCTTGTCTTTCTAACTATAAGTTTATTCCGTAAGGCCATATTCTACCCTGGACCTTTGTGCAAACCTCCTGTTGACATAAATGATAGTAAGTAATTCTGTGGAATTCAGTCCTCTCCAGAGGGAGTCTGACATCGCCCTTGCCCCACCTCTGCCTTTAAGGGGTAAACAAGCAACTGATAACAGCCTTGACTAGATCAGGGTTCTATCAGCATCCTTTTAGGACAGAGTTGAAGACTGAGGTTTTAGCTACACAAGTGTGCAGAAACTGATTTTACGAAATCAATATAACTCCTTTGTGTAGAAACACTTAAGCCAACTTAGGCTAGGTCTACACTACCCGCCTGAATCGGCGGGTAGAAATCGATCTCTCGGATCGAATTATCGCGTCTCGTCAGGACGTGACAATCGATCCCCGAATCGACGCTCTTACTCCACCAGCGGAGGTGGGAGTAAGCGCTGTCGACTGGGAGTCGCGGAGGTCGATTTTGCCGCCGTCCTCACAGTGGGGTAAGTCGGCTCCAATACGTCGAATTCAGCTACACTATTCGCGTAGCTGAATTTGCGTATCTTAAATCGACCCCCCCGGTAGTGAAGACCTGCCCTTAGAGTACTTTATATCAACTCAGTTTAAGTAATAAAGGCCTGAACTGCCTGGATTTTATGAAACCATTGGTTGGTGGGCTCTGTACACCATCACTGCAGATCAGGTGTGTGTCTACTGAGAAAAAGCTGTACAAATAATAGTCTATGTATTTAAAAAAAGGTAACTTGAAATGCAACTCTTGCCTTCTCCAGTGTTTCCCAGCGGTCAATGCTTTAGGTAGGGTTTGTGGGCTGATGACAGTATCCCAGTATCCACAAGTGTGTTCTCAATACTTTTACTTTCTCTTGTCCTGTTGGCTAAACCCAGGCTGCACCAGTTCAGGGAGCTAACTTGCCTTCTTTTAGCCTCTTATTTCAGCAGCACAGAACTTAGCTTGCATCGTCTACTCTATTAATTCTGAAGCAACAGGCTCTTGTTTCCTGTTCTGTGTAACTGGGCTCTTGCCAGTGCAACCTCTCAAAGCATGGCAAACCTTCTCTTTATTTCTCTTACACTATGCAGTGTTGAATCTGCCACTTTCCAAATGGCATTTTGCTAAGATCTTTCCAGCTAAAGTATTTTAAAGGCTTCCCGTATGCTTATATTGCTCACTATCCTTAGATCAGTGGTTGGCTACAGGTGTCTGGGTGACAGTCTCTTTAGCAGAACACCTTTTCCAAATGGAGAAAGTAGAATAAATTGCCTGTTTGTGAAGTCAGAATTCATGCATCTCCAAAAAATGGTTGTGTGAATTTCTGTGCACTCATGGAAGAAAGAGCTTGCATCTTTTTTCCAATGCTTTGGGTTTTTTGGGTTTGTTTTTTTTTTTTTTTTTTTTTTTTGTTCTCTAGATTTTGAGTTGAATCTCTCAGTAGCAGGCCAAACCTCCATGGTTTTAAGTTTCAGGCTTTGTCGTCAGGAGGGCTGCAGAATCCCATCAGGCTACAAAATGGAAGCTAATGCTCTATAGGTCTTTCAACTGAAGGACTTGCATTTGCTGAGACAGCCTGACAGCTCTCCATTCAGGTTTATCAGAGCTTGGCTGTGCATAGCAAGCTGACGGCTTTAGGTTGAAGCAGTGATACTTAGAAGGGAGCTACCTTGTTATTGGGTGACAAACTTTGCTAGGTCACTGCAGGCTGCTGTATCCCTTTCGTTAGGAGTTAGGACCCATGTCTTGTCTGCCTGCACTCTTAAGCAGTTAGCATGCTCCACTGGACAGGACACAGAACTGGGATTCATCTCTGGATTCTGTTCCTGGTTCTGCTGCTGACTAATACTAAGAGTGCAATGGGAAAGTTACTTAAACTCTCTGCCTCAGTTTCCCAATCTGTAAAATAGGGATAAGGGATATCTTCCTTTGTAAAGTACTTCAATATGCATGGTTGAAAAGCAATATAATAGCAATACATGTGGACCCCGGACAGTAATAAAAACTGGAGACATTCACCTTCCTTTCCTACCCTTTAATAATACCACAGACCGATAGTACCACCTAGTGTTGTCCTTCAAATGAGACAGTAAATAGAATTCCCTTGTGTCCAATGCAGGTGGCAGTTCAAAATCCAAATAAAACCCACAGAGTAGGCGAAAACCACAGTATCCTAGCCACCAGCTCCTTTTCAGTACATCTCTGGCTATATGTGATCTTTTGAAGACGAAGCCATTTTTAGACACTTGAGCACCTTATAAATGAATGTCTGCACCATCACTGCACTTCACCACCACCCCCTCATCCTACACAGCTAATTATGGTATCTTTTTTTTTGGCTGTAGGCCATTGGCAATAAAAATTGTGGCTAGAACAGGCTTGTGACACAAGCATGAAGATAATTTTGTTCTCAAAAATAAGCTTTATTTTGAGGTTTGTTTCCTAACTGCAGTATTTATGCAAAAATCCATGAAACTAACAGGAAAACCTGTGTGTTAAAAGAATGTATTTACTAGACACAAAACTACAACTGGTAATTCAGTGAATAATCCTTTTCATTGAAAAGCCTGAAAAGGCCATGAATATTCGGGGCTCAATCTAACTACCCTGTGACTCAGCTGAGCTGAAACACACACTTGTGCAGAATAGAGAGAGCATCTACATGTCATTGAGATATCTTAGGCCTTGGCTACACTGGTGCTTTACAGCGCTGCAACTTTCTTGCTCAGGGGTGTGAAAAAACACCCCCCTGAGCTCAGCAAGTTACAGCGCTGTAAAGCGCCAGTGTAAACAGTGCCCCAGCTGTAAGCTAATCCCCTCGGGGAGGTGGAGTACCTGCAGCGCTGGGAGAGCTCTTTCCCAGCGCTGGCGCCGTGACCAAACTCGCACTTCAAAGCGCTCCCGCGGCAGCGCTTTGAAGTTTCGAGTGTAGCCAAGCCCTTAGCTGAGCATTCTAGATGAATTATACCTGTAATCAGATATCTTTTAAACAAATTATCTTCTAGTATAGTTAAATTTTTAATACAGCAAATTAATTTGGAAATATGTTAAATACGCACACAATGTAATGAAACCTACTTCATAAAATAATGGAGTCCTTCTACACTGCAGTAAAAACCTTCCACACAGCTGCTGCTGGTTTGGGTTAGCTGTCTTGGGCTGTGAGGCTGTAAAATTGCAGTGTAGACATTTGAGTTTGGGCTGGAGCCCAGGTTCTAAGACACTGACGGGGAGGGTGCCAGGGCCTGGGCTCCAGCCCAAGCCCAAACATCTACACTCCAGTTTTATAGCCCCACAGCCTGAGCCAGCTGGCCCAGGCCAGCCACAGGTCTTTTACTGCAGTGTCAGCATACCCCTAAGAGGCTTGTTAAAAGGATCTTTAGTATATAACAGTAGGTAGAATTCTAACAGTTATGTTTTGTATTCTGTGTATCTGTACATAAAAAATAGATGCCTTTAATTGACTTCTTGCTAATGGACGGTTTTAGTTTTATGTATTTCTGACATCAGAAAAATGTAAAAAGTAATCTGAAAAATCAGAAAACTTTATTTGAAAATGAAACCAATCCAAACAGGTGAGTGGGACCCTGGAAGGATGGCAAGGGAAGATGGGTCAGTGGGGTGAATTTTTAAAAGTGTGTTAATGTGTTGCGAAGAAGCACACAAACTCAATGTACAGTTCTATTCTGAGATTGAAATCTCCTAGCTCTGGGTTTTTTCGTAGACGCCAGTGTGGGTATTAATCTTATGTGCAGTTGGGGCAGGTATACTAGGTCAGTAATAAGGAATGTGTACAAGACTCTTGCAGTCATTTGGGTTCTATCCCATTTCATTTTAAAATGTGTATTTTCTGGCTGAGAGTACACTTCATTCTGTACCATTGGAGATATAGCATCTGATAAATCTGAAAAGACTATTCTTGCTATATCATTAATCTGCAGTCAAACAGTCTGCCCCAGCTCTGCTTTTGCCTCCTACCATACTGTTTATAACATTAAAGTAAACAAGTAACTTGGCAGGGGAATGATGGTAGCATTCATGAAGAGACTAGATAATTTGTATGGCCTTTTTTAATACCTTCACAAGTAAAGAGCTTTGAGAGTCACATTTAATACACATGGCTTTTAAAATGAATGTCTTAAATTGAACATTGCAGCTTGCATTTTTTTTACTAAATTCTCCATTTGGTAATTTGATAAATGATTTACACATGCTGTAATTTTTATTTGATACTATGTTGTATAAGGCTAAACTTCATGTGGTGAGCCATTTAATACCTCAGAACATCAATGCTTTAGAAAACAAACCAATTTAATCTATTTTTAACCCTCTCCTCCCCCTTTTTATCAGGCGTCTTGGTGTTGAGTTGGGAAAATCTGCGGTGTACCAGGAAACCAATGGAGGTGAGTCAGTGTTACTGTGCTTGCAAGCCTGTCTCACTATTACATTTAGAAATTAACTAGTGGTAAATCTGCTAACCAAACTTGTGTAATAAGGGACCAGGTAACAGAGAAACATTATAGGGAAAAGGACAATCTTGTATTTTTAAGTCAGGAGATCATTCCTATTCCTGCCTCTGCTAAACTTCCTGTATGACCTTAGGCAAGTCAATAAATTGGTCCATGCCTCAGTTTCCCCATCTATAAAAGACTGGGTGATCTCTCTACCAGTGCTGTCCTCAGTCTAGAGAGAATGCAAATTCAAAGAGTTACTCAAAGAGGGCCCTAGAAGTTGCATATGAATGGCCATACTGGGTGAGATCAATGGTCCATTTAGCCCAGTATCCTGTCTTCCCACAGTGGCCAATGCCAGGTGATTCAGAGGGAATGAACAGAACAGGTAATCATCAAGTGGTCCATCCCCTGTCGCCCATTCCCAGCTTCTGGCAAATAGAGGCTAGGCACTAGGAACACTTTAGAGCATGGTTTTGCATCCCTGTCCATCCTGACTAATAGTCATCGATGGACCTATCCTCCATGAATTATCTAGTTCTTTTTTGAACCCTGCTCAACTTTATCTCTTATTTAAATGTATTTGGGCACCTGTCTTCAACCATCTGAGGGCTTTGTTGAAACAAATGTGTTTATTAGCCCCAAAAAAGAGCTCAGTGGCCTAGCTGCAATTTAGCATTTCAATTCTCCACTGCCATTTTTGTACAGAGGAGTAAGTAGAAACAGGAGGAATGATTGAAGTGGAAGTCTATACAATGAGTTTCTAAACTGGCGAGGGACTCTGATGGACAGTTACGAAAAGGATCCCATCTGAAGAATTCCTTATCTGTTAGGGAGCCAGGCCCAAACCAGATTGAAATGGAGCAAGGACCACCCAGCTGACCTCAGTTGCCTTGTGGTACATAGAATGATGTGCACTGTTATAAGTACCTCCAGTCCTAGGACAATAAATGTTTTATATGTCAGCAATAAGACCTTGCAGTATATCTGTTGGCTTGCTTATTTGCCACAACAGTGAGGAACATTCAGCCAGTTTTGCATTGAAACACCCCAAGAAGAGGTTATCGTCACTGGGTGCTGATTCAGTCCTGAGCAGTCAAAATACGGATATTTTAAGCTATTGGGATTTCAGTTGCTGCCCTTATACAGTTATAGAGCATCATCCATAACTCCTTGTGCTTTCAGGTTTTGCTCTTCAATCTGTGCAGACTGCCATTGTAACTTATGGTGACTGATTGAGTGACTCTTTCTGCATGAGTCTTGGCTCATGCTCGCTGTCTTTTGAGTTTACTGTGATATAACCTTTAAATTGGGACATTTGCTTCAGGGTACAGATTCATCCTTCATCACTGCACAGCAAATCATTATCTCTTTGAGCTAAATCCCTTTAAGTTGTCACAATTGCCCAAATAATTGGACTTTGAATTTCACAACGTGCTAAACCTGCCCCATCTTTCTCTCCCCTTCCCACCAACTTAGCCTTTTATTTTATCATGAATGTATGGAAAAAGAGTGCTTGAAAAGTCTTCCTACGCTAGTAGTATTGTTCTGGCTTGCAGAGCTGGTTCACTAGTTGGCTTATTGTAACTTGAAATTTGAGTGGCGAGGGAGAGATGGTTTAAGTGGAGACTTTGATTTCTGACCTGAAACTCTCTCTCTCCAAATGGGGGAGAGTGTCTGCTTACTTCAAAAGCAAAACAAAAGATGCTTTGAATTCTGTACTGCATTTTATTGTGTACTAGCCTGTAAGCACAGTGCTGACCTCTCCCTAAGATATAGAAGGGCTTATTCCCCTGTTCATAAAATGCTATAGGCTGTTACATGTTTGATATTTCTTTGTTCACTGAGTGTGGTGTTGACAGCTGTCATCAGCAAGAGAAAGGAAATAGAAAACCTCCGGACAGCTTTATGCTTCCTTGGAGGTAAAACAACCTGTAGGAGTTGAGTAGTTCTCTGCCTCCCCCCATGTAAAGTTATTGCAGTTCAGCCTAATTCTCCCTCTGTTTATTACATCCCATTGTAACTACAAATATCTCAATGCTACATCATGCAAACTCCTTGGTTCCCGAGAGCAGCCTTGTGGAAAATCCAGCCGGCTCACTTGTTTTATGATCTGATATGTAAATTTTCTCTGTGTAGATTGGGTGGGTTTTAAAACTCCATTGCTTTATCTGGCCCTTATTCCTGACCTGCTGGAAAAAGTTGCTATTAATGTGCTGCGTTATCTGCTTCATTCCCAAGCAGCAGCTTAGTGCTGACTATTTTTCTGTCATCTTCAGAAACAAGAGTTGAAATAAAAGAATCTGTCCGGGGCCATGATATCTTCATTATACAGACAATACCCAGGTAGGTCCTTTCTGGCTTAATTTAAATCTGTGATCATGAGGATCCCGTCCACTGGAGTGTGCTTTGAATGTCCAGCTCAGTAGATTTGTTCTGAGGTTTCGTATCTACTTGCTTACAATAATAGTGTGTTTTTACCAGTGCTGCTGCCTTGATGTCCATTTCTGTTGGGAGGGTGGTGTTTCGCTGTCAAAATTCCCAGTGGATCAGTTGATTGTACCACAATCAGCTGAGAAGCTTTTCATCGGATAGGCTAAGTGTGCCACTTCAAGCAACAACAAATAAAACTGATGGCTGTGAATGAAAACTTGTCTGTTCTGTGCTATGTTGTCCTTGCAGACTCTCTTGCTCAGTGATTTTGATTGGCACTTCCATTTCAGGATGTGTAATTTCCTCTGCCTTCCAATTACCAAGCAGCAGAGCTAGCAACAATAGGGGCTGTTGCTTTCATTACAGGTTGAATTACTCTTTCCTTTCCTTTGATTGTAATGATGTGAAACTGAATTAATGTTGAAGCTCTGACTGCTTCCTGTGCTTCCACAACATTGTACCATTCCATTCTGGCTCTTGGGTAGGCCTTAGGGTAGGGGTGGGCAAACTACGGCCCGGAGGCTGCATCCGGCCCTTCGGACGATTTAAACCGGCCCTCGAGCTCCTGCCGGAGAGTGGGGTTCAGGGCTTGCCCCTGCTCCGCACGGCTCCCAGAAGCAGCAGCATGTCCCCATTCTGGCTCCTATGCATAGGGGCAGCCAGGGGGCTCCGCACGCTGCCCCCGCCCCAAGCACCGCCCCTGCAGCTCCCATTGGCAGCCGATGGGAGCTGCAGGGGCGGCGCCTGCGGATGGGGCAGCGCACAGAGCCGCCTGGCTACGCCTCCGTGTAGGAGCCGGTGTGGGGACATGCCACTGCTTCCTGGAGCTGCTTGAGGTAAGCGCTGCCTGGAGCCTGCACCCCTTACCCCCTCCAGCGCCCCAACCCCCTGCCCTAGCCCTGATCCCCCTCCTGCCCTCCGAACCCCTCGATCTCACCCTCCTGCACCCCAGAGCCCACACTGCCAGCCGGAGCCCTTACCCCCCCCCGCACCCCAACTCCCTGCCCCAGCCCAGAGCTCCCTCCCGCACACTGAACTCCTCGTTTCTGGCCCCACCCCAGAGCCTGCACCCCCAGCCCGTGCCCTAAACCCCTCCCACACCCCAATCCCCAATTTTGTGAGCATTTATGGCCTTCCATACAGTTTCCATACCCAGATGTGGCCCTTGGACCAAAAAGTTTGCCCATCTGTGCTTTAGGGCATTCCTCTTCAGGTGGGTCTACTTGTTTTCTAGGTTGGACTATACTGGCTTTGGGTTAGGAGGGCAAAGAAATACTGAAAGTCATGATGGGCTGAGAAAACCATCCACTACCCTGAGAATCTTGCTTGATTCCGGTAGAATAGGTGGATAGATGAAGTGTCAGCGAAGGCAAAGAGCTGAGTTTGAAGGTGTGCACTCATTGCTGGTTTCTTGCCAAGTGATTAGTGCAGTCAGTGAAAATCAGTGCTGGAGTATTTAAAAAAAAAAAAAAAAAAGTAGTTGAAGTTAGGTCTCATACTATTCTTAAAGATGCAAAATTACCAGAGGTGAATATTGCATTGTTATTGGTGAGCAAAGTGAAAAAACTCATGTGCTTTCAGGGCTTTGCCCCAAGTTGCACATTCTGTTGTTGCATTGCTCACCAGCACTCAAGAACAAATTGATGGTGGAACATCTTATGAGCAGAAGCCTTTTCCAGTCTGCTCTGCAAACACAGTCCATATACTAAACAAGTCCAAATCATCCCCTTCCTAAGGCTTGGCTTCATTAATAAAAATATCAATGACAACATAAGATCAGCTTGAATCTTTTCCCCAGGGCTGGCTGCTCTGAGGGTTTCTTTCTCAAAACTATTCAGCCTATACCTTAGCTAGTCTATTCCCAGAAAAGCCATTCTCGCATCACTTACCTACAGGTGAGGAAATGAGTCTCCTCCCCGATTGATTAACCAGACCCACTATTTTTCCCCAGCAGGATCAAAACCTGCTAATAGAATGGGGGTGTTTGGGCAAACACTGCTGCTTATGTAAAACTGAGACAGATGAGGGATTTTAATCGGGGAAATGACAACTCAAAATTTGAGCAGGCAGTAACTTAGGAGAAAACACAAATGTCTCACTAATTGTTGTCAACTTGTCAAGAATTTTGCCCTTCCCCAGACCTGACTTGATCATTCCAGTCTAAAAAATCTCTGCTCTTTTATCTTTGAATGAGTGTTGAAAGGACTTGTCCTCCAAATGAGCAGCCTCTGTGATGCAGACAGGGTTCTTTATTCTTCAGCTTCATGTGTGCTTCGCTGCGTTGCTTAGAGAGGACAAGCTGAAGGTTGTCTCCATTCTGCAGTAGATTTTAAGTCCACCAAGCAGGAGTGTGAGGAGAGGAAGTGAATGGATTATTGTTTAGCAACTTCCCATCTTGACAGACTCCTCAGCAGCACAAAACTTGATATTGAAATATTGTTCAAATACTATGTAATCATGCTGTAAGTAATAAAGATGGAAGAGCTGATAGTAAATTGATACACCAGAAGCTAAGGTGAAGGTAGTGGGGTGTGAATGGAATGAGCTGCCAGGCTCCAGGAGTGTTGTTAAATGTTGCATAGTAGAATTACTGTTCTGTTGAGCTAGTTGTTTAACCATGTCACTGGGTGCTCTACCCACCTTTTGGAGCGCCTCCTTCTGGCTGCATCTGGGGATTAGCTCTGCCAGGCTGACACCCCTTTCTGCAGTTGTACTCTGTCACTCTGTGTTTTGGGACACAACTTGTCCCGCTTCGTGGCTTGGCTCGCTGGCCAGGTCCCTGTAGTTTTCCCTTCCAGGGCAGGCTGCGTTCTCAAAGTCTCTTGAGATCCACTGTCCCAGACAGTCTTCCCTTTCACTGCCCCTTAATGGTGCCACTTCTCCAGTGTCTGGCAAGGGAAGCCAGGCCCGCCGTCTACACTGCATTTCAGCCTAGGGACTCTGCACAGACCTCGACTGCTTGTTGTAATCTTAAGCCTTGCTGCTGTATCCCAGGGCTGCTTCCTACTTTGCCTTCTTTTACCCTGAGTGACTGCACCCTCTCTCTCTGCAGCCCCCTTTTACTCTCCGCTATTGGGCTTTATACAGGCCCTCTTGTTCCTGTGCAGCTGAACGTCCTCTTTATCGCTCCCTGGCTCCTCCTCCCAGTGCAGCCTATGCAGTTAGTTGACCCACCTTATCCCCATCAGGCCTTGTGTGGGATGGACACCCCATCACAAACCGCTAGAATAAATAACTTCGTGAATTTCACAAGGAAAGGTTGGAAAATCGCAAAGGCTCCAGACTGCAGGAGTAATGGTGAAAGATAAAATATACTGTAAACAGGGAAACTGTTTAGATGCAGAGGCCATTCAGGAGGAGGTATATAGGCTAAGGCGTAAGAGCTGAGTGCGTAAATATGATTCATGGTGATAATCAAAAAATCCAGGGGTAATACAGTTTGTTGAACAACTTTGGTGCAGGCCCTTAGGGAATGAGTAGTAGTGCAGTACTTCCTCCAGAAAGGAGGGATGGCATAGACATAAGGAGGCAAAGGTGACAAGCCACGTAAATGAGTTTATTGCTTTTGTGCAATCTACTAAATTGTTTACCCACCACAGTAGTTTCTCTTCTCCTTCCTCAGTTCTGTTCTGTTTGTCATATATGGGGTGGTTTCCTGAAAAGGAGAACCTAGCCACTGTCACGGAAGCCTTCAAAATCAGTGGTACTCAACCCTCATCTGTTTTTTTTTTCCCCCTGTGATGTAAGAGTATAATTCAAGAGAAGGTGGTATAAAACATAAAGTTCCAAAGTGACCTTTAAACATGGGTTTTGTTTTTGTTTTTTAAAGCCAAAAATGTAACACCGATAGCATCTTTCTCTCACCTCCCAGCCCCACTGACATGGCTATGCCACTGAAGGAAATAAATGGTTCTTTGTTAGTTTGCCTTTCTGAGAGGCAGGGGGTTGTTTTATATAATTCTTGGCTGGGTGTTTCATCGCAAACAAAGCTTTCTTGTGTCTAAGTACCATTGTATATGCAGGCTGATGGAGCCAGCAGGCTAACAAATACTCAGAATGTTCACGAAGAACCACAAATAGAGGTTCATTTCCAGAGGACAGGGGAAGTAATGGAGATAAAGAAATGGGACTAGTTAGTTGTATAACACTTGACAAGCAAGAAGCAAATCAGAAGTTGAATGGAATGTCACTTTGACAACTCTTGGTCTCCGTGCTCTCAGGGACGGTACCCTGGTGTTCAGGGGGAAAGTGGAACTCAGTGTGGTCAGAATGCTGTGACTGGATGAAGGGCAGTAATCAGTAGCCTGAGATGCCTGCAGTGGCTTCTGTGGAGCTGCAATAGACTTGTGGAAGACAGAACTTCATGAGTAGAGCCCTGCGCAGATACAAAAATCTGGAGCCGCATCCGCCAGGATCAACCCACAATCCGCTAGCCGTCTTTTACCTGTATCCACAGTAGCAAGCTGTCTCACAAGGGCTAGCGAGGGGGAGAGGAGGGAGCAAGTGGGGGGGCGGGGTCTTGCAGGGAAGAGGCAGCTTGACGTTGGGGACCGGGGGTAAGGGGCAGCACAGAAGTGGGGTCTCAAGGAGAAGGGGCAGCGCGGGGAGGAGGGGCTGGGGGGAAGGTGCATTGCTTGCTCCTGCCGGGGGGTTCACAAGCGACAGCACATGGCAGCAGCAGTGCGTGTTGCATCACAGTGGGGCTGCCCAGGAGCTGGCAGGATGGGCCTGCGACTGGGAGCACAGCCAGTGCTGCCATGATGGGGACGCTGGCGCTGCCCGAGGGGCCTGAGCTGCTGGACAGGAAGCAGTGCGGTGAGTGTGTGCTGGACAGCCCCAATTCTGACCTGCCACCCAACCCCAGCCACTGGCTCTGCCGCCAACCCCGAGCACCTGCGCCCCCCGGGCTGCCCAAGCCAGATGCTGCAGCCCAGGCACCGCTGGTGAGTAGAGCCCTGCGCAGTGGTATCTGCATCCTATCCACTAGCCGCAAAAGTGGTCCATGGATATGACTTGGATATCTGCGGATTTGCAGGGCTCTATTCATGGGAGTCTCAGAGTTGAGGTTTTACCATGACATTCCTCTTGCCCAGCATAGCTGCAATGTGCAGGAGGTCAGACGATGATCGTGATGATCCCTTCTGACCCTAATGACAGCTGGTTCACTTAGCTTTACTTGTTTAGGCTCTGTCACCAAATGACTACACAACTGTTCTGTACCCCACAAAAGCAGGCATATATGGGGTGAAGATTGGTGACCTATTGCAGGACTGATTTATAATTTGAGAATTTGCCCATGATAGCTGGTATAATAGGGTGGGTAAGGTTGTCTTTGTTCTGAGGATATTACTGGATTTTCCACCCTGTGGTGCATATATTTTCCACAAGGCTCTAAATTGTCTTTCAGTCCTGAGTAGCTGAGTCAAAGCTTATTGGCAGGATAGGATAGAATGTTTGGTGAACAAGCCCACCATATTCAGTTGAAAGCAACACAGTGCTAGAAAGTCTCCTCATCCAAACTGGGCTCAAGGAAAGATTTGTGTAGTTAAAGCATAGCTGTCCAGTCAACATGGCAAAAGTTAGGCAAGATGAGTCTTTCTCACAGACCTCTGTCATGATCTGTGAATGTTTCACATACTGTACACCACTGTTTCCATGGGTCTACCCAATAGAAGCTGTTGCTTGGGGGGTTTAGCACTGATAGGGTGATTTGATGCAGCCTGCCTCTCATTTCCTGAAAACATGAGTAGCACAGCGATGCTGGCCTCCAAGCAAAATATCACATCTGCACAGCTTGGAGCTGGGCAAGGGAGGGGAAGTCACTAGTTTCCTTAAAATGTTCAATGTAAATGTAAAATGTTCCATGATTCAGATCCTAACTTAACTATACAGGCTGCAAAGGATGACATATTAGTTACAAAATCATTGCCCTCCAAAATGTTTAGCGTGAAATGTTAATTGTTGCAACAGTAATAGAATGCATCTTGTTTCTGGGCAGTGATGGAAGCAAGAGAAAAATCCCCAAAAGGATGTTTTACAACAGGGGTATTAAACTAGAGATAGAAAATCTGATCTGTAGAACTAGAGATTCAAGGTCTTATTCCTTGCATGCATGTTAGTTCCTGTGTGTAGAGCCCTGCAAATGCGTGCATATCTGCTTAATATCCGCAGACCATTTTTGCGGATAGTGCGTCGGATGCAGATACAACCATGCAGGTCTCTACTCACTGGTGGCACCTGGCCCGCGGCGTCTGGCTCGGGCAGCCTGGGAGGCGCAGCAGGTCGGGGTCAGGGCTGTCCAGCACCCGCTTGCCATGCTGCTTCCTGTCCAGCAGGTCGGGCCCCTCAGGCAGCGCTGGCTGCATTCCCAGGCCTATCCCGCTGGCTCCTGGGCAGCAGGGCCCACACCCAGCCGGCCCGGCACCCCTCCGCTCCACTGTGATGCAACACGCACTGCTGCTGCCGTGTGCTGTCGCTTGTGAGCCCAAGGGAGTAGAACACGATGCGATGCCCCCACCCCTTCTCCTCGAGACCCTGCCCTCGCGCTGTCCCTTACTCCCAGTCCCCACCCTTGCGCTGCCTCTTCCCTGCAAGACCCCACCCCCCCTCGCTAGCTAGCCCTTGTGAGGTGTGAGACAGCTTGCTGCTGAGGGTGCGGATGTGGATACAGGTAAAAGTTGGATTGCAGATCGGATTGTGGTTGATCCTGGCGGATGCAGATCCACTTTTTTATATCTAGGCAGGGCTCTACCTATGTCCTTTAGTTCTTAGGAAGTAGCTTGTAATTATGATCCAGTTCTTACTGTGTATTCTGCTGGCACACTCTCTCTCTTTGGTGGAAAAATGGATATTGTAGATACCAAGGCTAGATGAGACCACCTTGATCATCTAGTCTGACCTCCTGTATAATGTAGGCCATAGAACTTCCCCAAAATAATACCTGTTTGAAATAGAGCATATATATTAGAAAAAATCATGTTGGAGGGAGTTTGTTAGGCAACAAGTTCTGACAACATATATTTAAGACCTGATCTCTCTTCTTTGAGAGTATCTCAAGAGACACTGGTTCATGGGATCTATACACACTGCTGTGACCAGAAGATCCAGCTTCTTTATCATGGTCCTCTGTAATGCAATTTGAGCCTTCAGAGCTTCCTGTTTCTCACAGTAAAGCTCATTTACGTTTTCACCTCTGACAATGAGCAAAACAAAATACTAACAGAGATCAATGAAGTATTAGAGAAAGATATCACTTTGATACTTTCTGGAAGAAACTTTTTCTTCCAGACAAAGTTACAGCAGGGTGTGTTGATCTAAGATAATTTGTTTCTATGTAAAACCAACTGCCACATGTAGAACAAATTCCCTCCTTTTAGGCACCTTGACAAGCATTGAGTTGTTATACCACTAAGTTCCATAGCAAAAATAGCATAAATAGTAACAATGAACTTCTGCGTAAGAGAGCTTGATCTGTTGTTAAAGCTGATTGAAGATCTATGGTTTTAAGTATATTTAACTCAACAAATGCCACGAGCAGAACCTCATTTTCTCTATAGCTGATAGCCTGAGCAGTAAAAGGTGTGGAAGGTTGTAAACAAGAAAAAGGAAGGGATAAGAGTTAAGTGTGGGAAGTGGTAGCTCTCAATTAGCCTTTGGTAGCTCAGTGGGCTACTGAGCTACAAGCAAGTCTGTTTAGCTTTATCAAATCACATGTGACATTCATAGCAACAAAAATTGAGGGTTTATCCAAAAAAGGCTCAAAGCAAATTACTTTTTGAACACTAAGCAAAGAAGCTAGAGACTGTGGGAGGGAATTGTTATCAGAGTTCTTCTACACTAATATTTGGAATGGTTTTCAAACCTCTCTTAGAGATGTGAACACTGCTGTAATGGAATTGTTGATAATGGCTTATGCACTGAAGACTTCCTGCGCCAGGAATATTATTGGGGTCATCCCTTACTTCCCCTATAGCAAACAAAGCAAAATGAGGAAGAGGGGCTCCATAGTCTGCAAACTGCTAGCTTCTATGCTGGCCAAAGCAGGTGAGTGTGTCGTGCAAGGAGGCAGCAGGAATTTTAGCCTCTATAACTTGTTCAACTACCATGCACCCCTGGGAATCAACTGCCCTTCCCTACCTCCCCCCTCACACTTGGGGACTTGTCCCCAAGTCCTCGGCCTACGTTGGGGGAACTAACATTTGTTCAGCTGTCTTTTTACAGTTGTATCTGGGGATGATTCACAAATATCTGATTAGGAATGCTGTATTGATCTGCCTATGCTATGCTCTTTCTGGTGCTTTGTTTTTTATAATAGTGTGGCTGGTTGTCAGTACTTGCTTCAAAGCTTTTTCTTCTACCAGCTTATACATCTGTTAAAATGTGGCATACAATATATTGACATAGGATAATTTAGAGACCATGAAATTTGGAGACGCACAGATCATATATTCCAGAAATTGTATCAGAGGATAGGAGAGGCTATTTGGTGATTCACTCTTTTTTGCGTTTTTAGGTTTAACACACATTATCACTATGGATCTTCATCAAAAGGAAATCCAAGGCTTCTTCAGCTTTCCAGTAGACAACTTAAGGGCATCCCCTTTCTTGCTTCAGTATATACAGGAAGAAGTAAGGTTACTCTAGTTTTATCTATACTTGTTTGCATTTAACCAGTACTTGACATGATATAGCATTGTTTTGTTGGGCTAGACTGATGGTCAGTCTGTTCCTGTAGTCTGTTTCTGACAGAGAACAATACCAAATGCTTTCCAGGAAAGTGTGAAATAGACCAAATTGTGCAATACTGTAGCAGTTTGGAAACTCTTTCCTGATCAAAACTGGAGATAAGGCCATGCTCTGAAGTATGAATTTCATTGTTCTAGACAATTGTTTTCTTAGTGTCATTTGAGATACTGTTCTTACTCATGCCTTTAATCATTTTAAAATCCTATTAAGCTGTTTCTCTCACGGTGAAGTGGATGTTTTGGTGAGCTGAATTATAGCTGGACTTTATGCTATACTGTTTCCAGCAGTGCTATGCAAAGGTGGGGAGGCAATTTGTTTTATTTAGATATTCAGAAAGTATGATTTGGATCCCAGCAAAATCATGCAGACTGCAAGAGTGATGCTTTTTAGTAGAGTGCCCAGGATCTCTGGAACAGCATGTTTAAATGCTGGCAGAATCAACTCATCCCTTCATTCAGGATAAGTAGAGTACAGTGCATCTTCCATGTCTGGCCCTTTCCTTAAGTTGTCTTTGGACCCAAAAAAAAAAAAATCTTTTCCCATCTCTCTCTTTTCCCCCCCCACCCCCACCCCCCGTTCTCATGCAGTATATGCTGTGAACCACTTGGCTTCTGCCCTCCATTTCAGGGTATGTCTACACTGGAGCTGGAAGTGTAACTTCTGTCTCTGGTAGATACACTCATGCTTGCTCTGATCAAGCTAGTGCACTTCTGTTTCTAGTGCATCTGCTTGTGCTGGGCCAGGCTTGCCAACCCTAAGTATTCAAGCAGTTAGCCTATCTTGCCACTTGTGCCACCATGGCTACACGTCTGTCATTAGCACGCTAGCTCAATCAGAGCTAGTGTAGGTATGTCTACATCCAATGTAGATGTACCCAAAGAAGTAGCTGCGTTTGGCAGTGTGCACTTTGTACATTGTTGAAGCCAATAAAGAAAGGTGGTGTAGAGCTACAAAATGTCTTTTTAGTAGTGAGTTCCATGACCTAATTGTATTGCATGAAGAATTCTGAGTATTAAAGTTTAATTTGAGTACTCTGTCCTATCGTGGGGCAGGTTATATACAAATGCCTGACTGCTCTTCTTTATATCACTGGTGTTAGCATGGAATTATCTCCTTTTATTAGTACTACAGCATGAGGTTCCCCAACTGTTGCACTTGATTGTAAAGATGTGTAGACAATTGTTGTTCCTAACTCATTACAATTTGGGTGAACAAGTACTGTACCTAGTACTAGACTCACTACTTACATGTTAGTAACCTTTTTTTCTTTTTAATCCAGATTCCAGATTACAGAAATGCAGTTATTGTCGCCAAATCCCCTGATGCAGCGAAAAGGTAAATAGACTCTTCCTGGCTGTCGGGGTGTACATTTGATAAAACCTGCTGTGATCTGGTAGTATGGAGTACATGTCGAAATGCAGAGTCTCCTAACTGAGACAGTAAACTTGTCTGTCAAACTGTTTTGCAGTAAAATGCTGGATTCAAACTTAGTGCTGCCAACCTTTGAGGTGCAACTGTCTGGATTGTCACACAACTGACCTTTGCACTTGGCGGGGAAATGCCCAGATTTAGAGCTCCCAACAGCTGGCGTATTGAGCAGTTTCTATTTACCTGGGTATTCAAGAATGTCTGAGCTTCTCACACATTTAAGGAGTCATAGAGCCAGTACTGGGCACAGTCAGATTACATAGTCACACCTGTTGCCTCTATCCAATGCTAATGTGGAGATTGCCATTAGGAGGAAGTGGCACCTAGCCCATGGCCCACACCATGGTACAGTGGTGGTTGCAGTAAGGGTCTGTGTTTGAATCAGCAGGCCTGAGAAGGCAGTGGCAGTCAGCTTGTCATAGGGAGAGGATGCGGAGGAACACCAAGAACCTCCTGGTGATGGAATGGCGAGGCAGAGAAGAGGGGAGGTACTGGGCGTTGGGCTATTTGAAGAAGATGGGTTTGAAAAGGCAGTTCTTTCCTAGCACCAATCCTACACATTTTGCTAGGAAGTGGAAGGAGCTTGTCTGGAAGTTGAGTGGCACAGTGGTAGAGTCCTAAATTCCCTTGTTGATTGTAGGCAAGGATTAAACATGTGTGATTAAAAAGTATACCAAGCCAGAGGGCCTTTCCAGAGGTGTTCTCATGTATCCCTCTAACCTGTTCTGGTTTTCATGCAGGGCTCAGTCTTATGCCGAGAGACTGCGTCTGGGACTAGCAGTGATCCATGGAGAGGCTCAGTGTACGGAGCAGGACATGGATGACGGCCGCCACTCTCCCCCAACTGTCAAAAATGCCACTGTGCACTCTGGCCTAGAGCTGCCCTGTAAGATTAGCACTCCGTCTCCATTTAACTTTTGATCAATGGGGGAAGGCATGGTGATGGGAGCTTGCTGTCTGCTTCATTTTACTGATATAAACCAGGGGTTCTCAAATTGGGGGTCAGGACTCCTCAGGGGGTTGCGAGCTGTCAGCCTCAATCCCAAACCCCGCTTTGCCTCCAGCATTTATAATGGTGTTAAATTTATAAAAAAAAAAAGTTTTTAATTTATAAGGGGGGGTCGCACTCAGAGGCTTGCTGTGTGAAAGGGGTCACCAGTACAGAAGTTTGAGAACCACTGATATAAACTATACCAGTGCAACTTCTCATGTAGACAAGGTTGAAGTTAGATCTGAAGACCTTGTCTACGCTGAGGTCTTTGTCAAATCTCCCACTGTTACACTAGTCCCAGTGCAGCTTCAGCTGGCGTTAGTGCCGGGAGAATGTGACAAACATCAATGTAGAGACAGCATTTATTCATCAGTGAGTGGCAAAATTATTCATGTTAATGAAATAAACTTGACTTCTAACCATCTTATTGAAATACCAAAGGGAAATTTGCAAGGGAATAATAGCCACTGAGCTGAGAGATTGTTGGGTGGGTAGCCCTTTTCTCCTTTTGGATGCAGTCTTTTTTTGTTTTGTTTTTTTGGCTGCTGTCCTCTGAATGTGGAGGCTGTGCCCTAGAACTACAGCAGCCTTTATAATAGCCTTGTCCGTACTGGGAACAAAACCTTGCTAGTTAGTGTCATTTAGATATTGTTTCTGGGAGCATTCTAATGTGACTTGTTTGGTCAGTATGAATAAGGGTCTTTCTAAGAACTTTTGGAACTCAGAATGCTACCTTGTATGCTCTCTCTATCCTCACCCTTGTATTAGCCGGCAGCACAGTTTTATAATGTTGTTTTTAGGTCCAGAATCCTAAAAAAACTGTTCTAAGGAACTATGCTACTATCCTGCTAGCAACATCAGGATTCAAACAGTGGTAGCAGTACTGATAAGGGGAAAAAAATCCAACTGTTTCCCTTCCCTCTTAGCTGTCCAGGTACATGTTTTTGGGCCCTAAGGTTAGGGTTTAGAGTCATGGATGCGTTGTGTGTGTATGTATGTGAGACTAGAGCAAGGTGGACGGTGGGGAGGGAAGCGGGGGAGGAGACATGGACAGGTACCTCAGCTGCAGAAAGCAACATTCCATCAAGCAGATTAGCTCAGTGATATCTGTCTCTGCAGAGGTTACCAATAGCGTAGATGGTCCAGTGCTTGCAGAATGATAATGAACACATAACCAAAAGTGTGTGTTCCTCTCTTGTCCTTGATGTGATGTTTAGAGATCAACATCCTTCATGCATTAGCTAGTTACGATGCTGAGACAAAGTGGGTACAAAGGAAATTGTCATTGTCACAAGTGTTAGTATAACAAGTACACACTTAAAGGACATATTGAAGCTAGCAGGAGACTCTTCTTGGCTTCTGACAGCAAATGTTAGTCTATGATTTTTGTCCTCTTGCAAGCATTTTTCCTTCCTGTTTCTAATGGGAACTGAAATTTAACATAGGTGCTTTGGTCTGTTTCCTTGATTCCGAGGTATGGGTGGAATTTTTTTACTCGTTAGTATAACTAGAGTATTACTCCTGAGGGAATTCTGTGCCTAAAAATGATGCGCACATTTTAAAATTCTGCAAATTTTATTTGTTAATAAATAAATGTGGCTCCAGCATGGCAGTGGGGCGCACAGGCCACTGGCTGCATTGAGGTGGGAGATCACCCTGAAGCCCCCACCTCCCACGGTATAGGGACTTGGCAGTGAGGCTGCACATGACCCTGACACAGTGCAAGAGCTGGGCCTGCCGCAGAAACACCCCAGGACCCTGCCCCTCTGCACCAGGTATGGATGGGCAGGCTCATCCCAGCAGGATCCAAGTGTGGAGGGGCTTAGTGTGGGGAGATCCAGGTGTGGGGTGAGAGGTTTCTGTGTGGGGCAATCTGGGTGCAGGCGCTTCAGTGGGAGATCTGGATGCACAGAGGCTTGTTGTGGGGTTCTGGGTGCAGGGGCAATGGGACGCTGCAGGGGATCCAGGTGAAGGTGGTTGGGGCTTGGGGGGTGGGGTGGGGGCTGGGTATGGGGAGATGGGGCTTGGCAGGGGGTTCTGGGTGTGTGGGGTCCAGTGGGGAGTGGTGGTCCTGGTGCTGAGTGGAGTGGGGCTTGATGGGGGTGGGGGTCCAGGTGCAGCTGGTCGGGGATCAGTGGGGTGGTGGTCTGGGTGTGAGCGGCTCGTTGGAGGGGTCCGGGTGTAGCGCTTGTCAGGGTGAGAGTTCAATGGGCCTGCTTAATGGAGGAGCCCCAGCTACTGCTGAGGAGATGCCACATGCTGGGCTCCTACTTCCCCCTGTGATGCCCCTATCCCCTTTTCTTCTCTATCCCCTTCCCCTCACTCCCACATTCCTCTCCCCCTGCCCTATTCCACCTCCTCTTCTCCCCCCCCCCTTACCCAGCCCCACTGCAGAATAGAAAACAGGAAGGCTCCCAGCACACAGAAGGGAAGCACCACTGGCACAGGACCCAGGAGGCACCGTTCAGCTGCAGAGTCAGCTGTGCGGGGACCCAGACAGCCTCTGTCAACTGGGCAGCTCTCTGCTTGCAGAATGAGGGGGGGCAGTGGCATGTAACCCTATGTGCCCCCTAAAAAACTGCACTCATGGTCCCCACCCACCCCCACGTGGCTTCCCTACCGTGTTCTGCAGGGAAACATAGGAAATCTGCAGGGGGAAGTGGGGGGTGGGTGGGTTCTGTGGGTGCACAGTCCCGCAGAATCCCCCCAGGGGTAGAGCATGTAGATCTTGCGTCAAGGCTTACGTGGATGGTGATAGCAGATTTTAAAGAACTTGAAAATCCAAAGAGATTCTTTATCAGATAATAAGTCTTCAAATACATTAAGAGCTGTAGTAAACAGGACTGTGGTCAGTTGTTCGCCATGTCCACTGAAGGTAGGACAGGAATTAATGGGTGTAATCGGCAGCAAGGGAGATTTAGGTTAGATATTAAGAAAAATTTTCTAACTATAAGGATAGTTAAGCTCTGGAATAGGTTACCAGGGGAGATTGTGGAATCCCCCTCATTGGAGGTTTTTAAGATCAGGTTGGACAAACACTTGTCAGGGTTGGTCTAGGTTTACTTGATCTTGTCTCAGTGCAGGGGGCTGGACTTGATGACCTCCCCAGGTCCCTTTCAGCCCTACATTTGTGATTCTGTAACAGACTTAAGGTAGATCAGATTTGGGGCTTAAATTGAGTGCTCCTTAATGGTAGCTTGCACATAGGTTTGTCCAATCCGGTGTAGTTATGGTTTCAGGGGAGAAATGTTTTCAGTCCACTGTTATCAAGACATGAGCTCAGCTGGTGTCTCTCACCTTCCTCCTTATTTATCTATCCGAGAAATTTGATGCCTGTCTAATTAATTACCTTGCATTCTTCAGTGCCTGAAACACAAATGTGTAAAAATCAAATTATGCTACTCTGAAGTTGACTAAAAAGGGGAAACACAGGGTAAATTTCTGGGGTGAGCCTTGCTCCTTGCCAGTAGTGCTTCTATGTAAATTATTTGTTGATTCTCTGCAGCCTTTGAGTCTTACTTGCTACCTGGTTTTGAGCAAGTGCTGGGCTCTGTTAGCTAGGCTACAAAACAACAAAAGTATCTGTTTCAAGAAAAATCCATGAAGTCTGTATTTTGTAGCGAGTACCATGTATTTGCTCTTCACTGTGCTAAAATTAAAGTGCAGTTGGAGTTAGGAAAAGCGGCATATTGAGGTCCTGTATCGATCCTCTGACTCTTCCTGATCCAGTTAGTTCTGTTTACAAGTCCAGAGGTTTTTCCAAAATGCCACTTCAGCAAAATCCTTAGGTTCTGAATAACGCTGGATTCTTTTTTCTTCCTCTTGCACCAGTAACAAAAATATCCGGACATGGAAGTTTCCTGCTAGTTTTGATGGTGAAGCAGAATAGAATCTAACTAGCTCTCCTACAGTGTTATAAAACATAGCATACACTACTAACATAGAACTTGGGTTCCCTTGAGCCAAAAGGGTCAGAAAATGTCCTTAGTTGCCAAAGGAGGGAGCAAAGTCTCCAGAATTACATCCTTGATTCTGTAGAAGCCCCTCTGGATATAAGGTAGGCACTAGAAAGTTGGGGTATTCCTGGGAAGGAGCCACTCACCTGGACATATGCTCCTTTCTGTAGAGCGTGGATTTCCCACCAGAAATCGGTGCAGAACTTCCAGTTTTGTGAGCTAGAGTGGTGGTTGAACAGACAGAATGGTGTCTGTGTCCAAGGCTATATCTACACTGCAGCTGGGAAGTATAATGCCCAGCTCCGGTAGACGTACATAACTAGCTGTGATAGAGTTAATGCTCTAAAAATAGCAGTGTGGTCACTGCAGCTCAGACTAGCCACGCAAGTACAACCCTGTCTGAGATACTAGATATGTAGGCAGCAGCTTGGGCTAGCCCTGACTTTGCCTCCACAGTCATGCTGCTGTTTTTAGTGTGTGAGCTTGAACAGAGCTAGCGTGTGACTGTCTGCCCAAGTTGGGAATTACGCCTCTCAGCTGCAGTGTGGATGTGACCTAAGTGGGAGTAGGACTCAGAGACCTACATGGAGATGCATGGCCTTCTGCAAAGAGAACTATGGTCCATGCAGTTGTGGGTGGGCTTCCTAGTGGGTCAGCTGGCCTTAGCCACATTTACTCTTGGCCCAAACACCAGCTCCTATGGGACTGTTTGCCTTTACTTCATGGGTCCTGCTCCTGGTTCATGTTTTACCCTCCTGCCAGAGAGCATCGCAGGACCCACTGTCTGTTTGACTCAGCGACACATGGGAAAGTTATATTGTATTAAAGTGCCATAGTTGGACACTTTTGACTGCACATCTTAAACTGCTCTGCTAAAAATTCAAAATACCAGAAACCTTTGAGCCCTTAATACAGGACATCCCTATAAGGCTGTTCTGTTTTGTATTTGTAGCTGTTTATGGAGCCTTTGTGTTCAAGCTTGTTGTGCTTTAACAAATGCACATAAGTTTGTGCTTGCCGACTCTCCCTTCTGAAAATGTGTGTAACATGTTAAATCGTTCAGGTAGCCTTTTGGCTTGCTACCAGATGTATGTAAGCAATATGCCACTCAAACCAACAACCAGGCTGTCATAAGCAAAGGCACTAGGGTAAAAAAACTGAGTGAACTTGTGGGCCTTTTTCCTCTTCTGTATTTAGAATGGGGGCGTAAAAAAAAAAATCTGTACTCATCTAGATGCATCACTTTGCATAACTATTTGTCATTGGTTCTTCTGTTGTCCTGTTGTAAATACAGCATTATTTTACTTGGTGAATGTAAGTTTAACACATACAAACTGTGATAACTTTTTGTTGCCTCTGAACTGAAGCCACCACAAGATTCCTTAAAAAGTATTGGCCACTGAATGAGAACAGCAAGTTTGAGCACAGGTTAATGCCATTTCCTTATGCCAGATGAAATGATTTTTTTAACTCTTAATGAAGTGTGATAATTGTATCCAGCACTTAAATCAGAGGAATAAGCCTTTACAAAGATTAGGGCTTTTTGCTGAGCAATTGGGTTTTTCCACATATTCTCTGAAACATTTTTCATGGTCCTATTTATAAAAATGACTACTCTTCATTTGGTGTATGACCCTTTAAAAATATATATATACTAGAAACGCTAAAACCAGCTTCCTGACTCTTCAGAAGCAGTTGCAGTCCTTGGACCAGACTTTGATCTTGGTTACATCCCTGTAAATATAATTAATTAGAGGGACTCTGGGCTTACACCAGAGTAACTGATATCCAAGTCTGGCCTACTTTTTTTTAAACTTTGTTTGCCTCTTTCAGCTACATAGAAACAAAGGTTTTGTACCTGGGAGGGAAATGTTCACTTACTATTTAGAGCAATTTTTCAAGCCACCATCTCCCAGCAGTTCTGACTTGTAAATGTCACTATGACTAAGGTTTTTGGAGAAGGAGAAACTGACCACAATGACTTCGGCATGTGTTTTACCTCACATTGGAGCAATCGAAGTTCTTTTGAGATTTGATGTGGTTATGGGTGGATATTGGCTTGCAATTTTTTTTTCTTTTCTTTACAGAGCTAATTGATCAAGAAAAAGGGAGAACAGCTCTTTAGGAATCGGGTAGGTCTACATGCTGCCTACCCTACTTAAAAAAAAAAAAAAAAAGGCTTAAATATAGCATTTAAATGTAGAGAAGGAAGGAAGGACACTAATTGCTGCTAATATTGGTAGCTGACTGTCAAAACTCTGAGCATAGTTTGGAGATGAAATTACTGGTAAGGAATACTTCATTTGTTATGCAATGCAAAGGTGCAAACTCCAGATGAAGAGTTACATGTTTGCCAGTAAAATAGTGCTGAATTTCAACTCTTAAGATCCATTCACCATCCTTCTCCCTGGCCTGTCTGCTGTAAGCAGAACCCTGTTCATCTCTGGAATGTATGTTAAGGTTGGGATGGGAGCCAGATGTAATCCTTTGGGCATTTGATAACTCAGTCCTTCCTACCAAGAGTTTTGTTATCTAAACTAGATTAATAATTAATCAAAACTGGTAGGTAGGGCCTGCAGTTGAAATATTTTAGCCTGCTTATCTCTTGTGAAGTTTAATCCTGGTTTATTAAAAGTACCCTTCCTCTTGCCCTCCCCTTTACATGAGAACTGTTTTTTTCCCTTTACACTCTTGTCTCTCTATGTATTGGCAAGCAAGCTGTAGAAAACAATTCTAGAGCGGCTCTGGAATCTCTGCTTCAAAGAGCACTTCAGTTAGGACTCAGGCTAGCTGCCTAACTGAGACGTTAAACTAAAATTCAGCACTGACTGACTTATTCTGTTCAAAACATAAATCTTTGGCCTTTTTAAAATTTGAGTAAGGTTTAAAGGAAAATGAGTCCTTTACATGAGACTCCTTACACTGTACTGTTTTATATGCTTCATGTAGTAGCCGTATACATTTGAAACTGTGGTCCCCATAAATCACATTTATCGTACACCTAAATCTACCTCACCTGTACTCTGCCACATATCCACCTCTGCCAAAGCTACTAACATTCCAAACTACAGAGTATCTTAGACATCATTTTAAGACTATTCTATTAGTCTGTGCAAGAGGGGTATTTTCAATCAGTTTAAGGTGAGATATCCTGATCCAGTATGACTAAAAGTGATTTCCTTACCATTAGCTTAAAATCCCTTTTTTTGGTAATAGGATAAGGCTTTTCTTTCTGCCCTGGTAGAATGCTAGGTATTAGACAAGTGCATACATTTTGTAACAATATATTCAAAAACATTATTTTTTAGGTGTCTGAAAGTTCTTAACTTTTCTGAAGCCTGTACAGTTGAATCATAGTAATTGAAGCACCTATCTTTACAGTGGGAGGCTATGAAAAAGTATCAGTGACGTTTATTTTAAAATACTCTAATCCCCTCAATCATTTCTAAAGGAGTTATGTAAAAGGTGTTGCATATGTAGAATTTTAAATGGGGTAATATGAAAGTTTTCATGATGGGCTTGCTTGGGCTGATATGTATCACTTCCTTACTACTGCATTTGAGCAACGATTCATGCCATTTAAATCCATTCACCAGATTCATGCAATGTACATTTCATACCCTTAGATATCCTTTTTGTGTCATACACATGCCCTGAGACTTTTGTGTTATAAATCAAAATGTTCATTGTCAGGGGAGGGACTTCTTAAATGTACTTGGCTCAAGGGTGGCCAGTCGTTGCCCAGGTGAGGGATTTATTAACAACTTGCCAGCAGTCTGAGGGCCACATCCAGTTTGTGGAGCAGATGGCTGTCTGGCTTGTCTTTAAATCCAGAATATAAGTGCAAAGTAGACAGTACGTATCAGCATGTGATGCTCCACCTTGATATTGACACTGCTTGCCTCAAGATGGAGCATTTCCTGTTGGTACATGTAGTTTCTGCATGCCACAGATCCATATGAAAGTAAAGCTCTTTGAAGTGTGTCGGAGGGGTGGGAGGGTGGAGGCAGAGAGCGATTGGCACCTTCTTACTCAACGAATCTGATCCTTTTATATGTCATCTACAGAATTTAGTAATAAGTGTATTTAGTGCTTTTTACTCCTGTGTTGGGTTTGTAATGCTAAGATTGAGCTGGATTTTGTTTGTCCTTCTTTTGAACACTAATTACAAAATTCAGCTACTGAAAGCAATGAACATATTCAGGGGCGTCCTTAGGATTTATGGTGCCCTATGCAGTATTATTAAACTGGTGCCCCTATGCCCAACGGCATCCCAGGCTCGCATGTGTATAAGGGTGGTCTTTTGAAGGATTTATTTAAAAAACTATGTCTGAAGATCCAAGCATTTAAGGCTAAAGATGAATACTCAGATTGTGCATCTAAAAATCTATGCAAGGATTTCTTAGAGATGTGATTTTATAATCTTCAGCAACACACTAATGAAATACTTTTAAAGCAAATTTTAAACTAAGGTCCTGTAGACTAACATGTTCTGAGTAAATATTACAGTAATGCACAACTGTTATCGTCAGTAAATTTCAGAAACTGACAGTATATACCTGGGGGTTGGCAAATGCCTGTTAAATGGCTTCATTACCACTTGAATGGCTCTTTAACTGTTTTAATGTTGTGCTAATAGGTCTGGCAGGCTGGAGGCTTTTTCACTTTTAAGTACTAGATCCCCTCCAGAGGAAGACTCACCAGGCTGCAGCAATCAGCTGTGGTGGGAGCCTGCAGGAAGGGTAGAACAGGGATAGGAAGAGGTGGAAGGGTGGACACCAAGACTTAGGGGTGCCCCAAATTTTCAGGTGCGTATGCCTAAGGACGGCCCTGAACATATGCAGGTGTCATAAAGGGTCTTTTCTGGTCTGCAGGACACTTTATTGGGGATAGAGGAGAATTTGTTAGTCTCTAAGGTGCCACAAGTACTCCTGTTATTTTTGCGGATACAGACTAACACGGCTGCTACTCTATAACCCAGCTTGAGTCTCAGATCCCCAGATCAATTTGCATGGCTAGCAATTAGAAAACTACCTCTTGCAACCAGGGACATTTGATAATATCCTTTAAGGAAGCTAAATGTGGAAGCCCACAACACCATTTTTAGTCACTTTTTGGAGCAGAAGTGCGCTTTAAGATGAGAATAGCACCACTGCTTGAGCTGCACTTGGACCAACAGCTGCATCACAGCTGCCTTGACAAGGAATTTTAAGACGTTTAAAGGGAAAAAAATGCTAAGCACCAGCTGGCTCAGTTGAAGTGAGTGTGAGATGCAGGTGCTTGATTCCTCTGGAAATCACTCTTAATTTCTTATTAAGCTCCTCTACTTCTCCCTTTTTAAAGTGATTTATAAAATTGAAGTTCTGTGGGGTCTTATGGGGTATATACATATAAATTGCAAGAAGTGATGCACGTGTATATTAAACTTGATGCACCAAGGTTTAATTGAAAAAAGTGGGAGCCTGTCCTGCAGTGCAATAAATGGATATATGCATGTAGTAATACTGCCATGTATGGAATCTAACTAGGCTTTGCTTTGTTTTTAGTGATGATGGCCAAAGAGAAGCCACCAATAACTGTAGTCGGAGATGTTGGGGGAAGAATCGCCATCATTGTGGTACGAGACTTAGAGCGGTGGGGTGGGATCTTTTTCTCTAGCCCATCTCTAAATATTTATGCCTCCGTGTAGCTGGGATTTCTGTTCTGGAGTAGAAATGACACGACGCTATCGTGTCAGAACATGAATGTTCACATTCCATCCTCTCCTCAACTCTCTCCAGCTTTCCTGTGTATCTAAATAGGAAAGACAGACAGACCCTGTTAATATCCAGTGTTCAGCCCTGTGTTCAAAACGTGGGGATGTGGACCCTCAAATTTTCCTGCACAGTTACACCAGAACCCAAAAATGAATACCTCCGAATGGAAATCACTTGCTGCTGGTCTCCATTCATCCTGCTGAACTGCTGTTGAGATGGGTGGCATGGGGTTTTGGTATCATTGAGAGGATGGATAGTCTTCTCCTGCAGATACAAGACTGAAAGTCCAAGACCCTTCTGGGTTCTAGTCCCAGTTCTGCCACAAATGTCCTGTGTGACCTTGAGTAAGTCAGAATCTCAGTGCCTCACATTTCCCTTTCATTAAAATGGGACTCCTTCTATACCTCACATTGGAGCTGAGATTTAAGTCATTGTGTGAGAGGCACTCTGATACTACAGTGGTGAGAACTATAGAAATATCTGCAAATAAATAAAATTATATTAATTATCAGAGCTGGTGTATTCTGCCTGGGTGTATAAAGGATCTTCAGCAGTAGTCAAGATAGACCCTAACTTCCTCAAATATATACAGACTCTGCTGCTATAGATGTGAAGAGATCAAAGTCTGTCTTCTTTCAAGTGGTAACTTCTTGGTTCTGATTGTGGGGTTTATGTTTCTCTTAGGATGATATTATTGATGATGTGGAAAGCTTTGTAGCAGCTGCAGAAATCCTGAAAGAGCGTGGTGCTTACAAGATTTTTGTGATGGCCACTCATGGAATCTTATCTGCAGATGCACCCCGTCTAATCGAGGAATCCGCAGTCGATGAGGTATGTCACTGCTGCTTGTCTTGTGGAGATGGGAAAAGGTTGGATGGTGGCCACATGGATTCAGGAACTAGCTTTTTGCCTCTAGACAGCAAGGTTCCAGGTCACAGTTGTAAAATGACTTTCATCACACAATTTTTACTAGGTAACAGTCTATCACAAAACCAACCAACATACAATTCAGCATGCAATTAACGTTACCTGTTCTGACTGGGACTGGGTATGGGATGATTTTTCAAAGCTTTATTTGGGGTAAGTTTAGCCTCTGCTTGCACTGAATAGCTTTTACCTGAGACTAATGTTAATTTTTCCATGAGTGAAACAATTCATCAAATTTACATATATTTGAGAGGAAAATAAAGCTGGTCTTTGCTAGATGACAAGATAGATCCAGGAGTGAAAGTAATGGAGACATTAAATGAGGCTTCTAATATAGTTATCAGAAATGGGTTGTTATCCATTTTTTTAGAAGATGAGAATGGAAAATCTCATTTAGCTCAAAGGCATATGGCCCCTTAAGGGTCTGTCCTCTATGTAGCAGAGTGTCCTGTGGCACCTTATAGACTAACAGACGTATAGGAGCATGAGCTTTCGTGAGTGAATACCCACTTCTTCGGATGCATGGGTATTCACCCACGAAAGCTCATGCTCCTATGTGTCTGTTAGTCTATAAGGTGCCACAGGACACTTTGCTGCTTTTACAGATCCAGACTAATACGGCTACCCCTTTGCTACTTGTCCTCTATGTAGATTTCCCATCTACATATAAACTTATTAATACCTATCTGGATGGAGGGTCTAAAGCACAGCCACCATTGGAAATTATGCTGAGTTGCCTTAATAAAGGAGCCTTTGGCACCAGACAGTCTGGGAGAGAAACTCTGTTTAGGGGACAGTCCCCCCTCTGAATTTTATGGCATTTGTTTTAATAGCCAAACTTCTCCAAAGGGCAGACTTCACCTATTTTATTGGTACAGTGAGCTGGTACAGTGAGTCTGCATCCTTTGCTATCCTCTAGCAAAACCATTCACATGGTTGCTTCTCCATCACATCCCATGTGCATGTGTTTGCTTTCCTGTAATATTTATTTTACTTTTCTCTGCCTCTCCTGTCTGGCCATGGACTTTGTGGGGTATTATTGGATCAAGCCATCAAATATTCCACCCTGAGTGGTCAAGAACCTGATGTAATCAGACTTGCTAGTCCACGTGGAGGAACTTCATGCAGAGCATTACTGATGTTGGCCCTTTCTTCAAATGATCAGCCTTGGAAAATCTGTCATTTCAATCATATAATATTAGTGATATTTACACCTACCCCAAAACCTCTAACTACCCAGAGAAACTTCAGTTACAACTGATTTTCAGAGTTATTCTTAGGTAGCTGTTAAATCTGAATTGATGTGTTGGTGGCAGTTTTAATGTTCTTTCCTTTCTATCTCTATGCAGGTGGTGGTGACCAACACAGTTCCTCATGAAGTTCAGAAGCTGCAGTGCCCCAAGATAAAGACTGTGGATATCAGTTTGATCCTCTCTGAAGCCATTCGACGAATCCACAATGGGGAGTCCATGGCTTATCTCTTCCGCAACATCACCGTGGATGACTAGATTGCAATGTTGCCCTTGTCCTGGGTTTCCTGAAGAGAAGGGAGAAGGAAATGTGCATGAAAATGCAATGCCATAAATTATAGACATAACACAACTGTTTCTTCTGCTGGGGGAGGGTGTAGGATGTTTAAGGACTGAAGCCACGAGATTGAATAGCAAAAGTAAAATTGAACAGCCCTGATACTTGCGGCCTCTTCTGTTCACCTTGCAGGGAGGATTACATTTTAGTTCTGATCAGGAAATAGAGAGGCTTTGAATTGTAAGTAAAAGTTGCCTGAAAGCTATTTAGTGTCTGCCTCTCACCCTTTAAAACAAAGCTGTAGTCTCATGAGAGGAGAATCTGGAAGTCTTGTTGCTGCACATGGACTGATGAAGTAAAGATTTTGATGCTGCTTCTAGTCCATGGATTGACTATAGAATACAGAAGGGAACACTTCATTTAAGCTGCCTGGGCAAGTAGGGTGATGTGCAGAAAACCCCCGTGCCAACTTTTGTAGCCTTTTCTAATTTCATTTATTCAGCATAGGTTTATTTTTATGAAGTTATTGGCTGTAAGTGTATTCAACAGTGGCAGCCTAGAATGACCCAGTGGCAGTTAAATCCTTAAATAAATTAGATTTGTCGATGTTTGTAACAACTTAAATCTATTTATCTCAGCAGGAGTGGGAACATAGTAGTAGAATAGGTCAACCTTTATCTCTAGAGCCTTGGATTTTTGTCACAACTCCATGGCAAGTAATGTGAGTTTGATCCCTGCTGGAACACTTGTCTACATTGAAAATTAAGCACAATTTGTGATTTTTGGCTGTTGGCTCAGAAGTTGCCTGGGATTGATATACCCTGGCAGAATTGTATGAGGGAAACTTTGCATGTCTGCCTCAGAGATGACTATACTTTCTGAAACTCTAATGTTCAAAAAGCTAAAAAGCATAGGATTTTTATTTTGGACCTTTTCCCTGTGGACAGCTGCCATTTTGGTCTGTTGTTGTAAATATGTTAAATACATTGACGAGGCAGCCCTGTAAAGTAAAAGAAAATGTAGATGCTTTAAACCTGTTTTCTGAAACACCCATTGAACTCCTGCCTCTAGACAGAGAGGCCTTGTTGCTTGCTCCTTTTCCAAGTGACGCACATCCTTGGCTGTTGGCAAGGAGTATATGGCTGGGAAAGCAACCCTAGTGAATTGTGATGAGTTTTGCTGGGCTGTAATAAGATCCAAGGGCATATTCCAAAAACATCCGCCATGTAGGAGGTCAGGTCAATATGCACACTACCAAAACCTAGAATATTTTCAACTTGGCTCTGTGATCAGTAGTTTGAGGCTATTGCTTGGGAGAAGACAGTGCAGATTGCCTTGTCCAGCAGGGGTTTGTTTATAGTATTACTTGCCCTTCAACTTCTACCTACATATTTCACTCCCACTTCAACGTACAACAAATTCTAAAAGTGTCAAAGAGCATGTGTTTATGCTGGGAGTCCTGGAAGAGCCTTGAATGTTCAGCAAACAAAAGGTCCTCAGTAGAGTGAAGTGCATATTATAGAACTAGCTTCCTATCTCCTAGCCACTGAGCATGTATGGAACTATGGATTCAGGAGCACCTTGCCTTCTCTCTGGAATCCAGCTGCTGATCTGGATCTCCAGACTGAATCTTCTTGTAAGCAATATACGGGACTGTTCTTAATTTAGTGACTTTGTTCACTAAGTATTAGAAAAAGTCACAACTGTACTCCATTACCATGACTTTATGTATGTGGCTCCTCAGGGCTGCTGACAGTTATATTTTAACATGGTACCGTACTTGAAGTATTATTGAAGGGATTGACTGACAAGCATGTATGTGAAGAAATCATAAATACTCATGTCCCATTGTTCTTAATTAGTACTAGGCTACAGCTGTTCCTAGTGATAGCCAGTTTTACAAACATGAAAACATTCTGTCCTCATATCCCCTTTTAATTACTTTAAGGTAGACCCTACCCTGGGTGAAGTGGCCCAGTTCATTAGTTGGCTGCCCTCTCGCCTCAGATTCGTCTCTGTTCAAATCTTGTCGTGGGACACAAGTCAGAATGAATTTGACTGGGCCATAGTCCTAAATCGGTCACATCACAAAATCTCAACCAGTTTGGTCCAATTGGCAGCCTGTGCTCACAAGGCCGAGAATTGCAATATGAGAGATCGCAAATGAGGATTAAAATGCATCAGAAGAGCTATATGGAAGCTTGCAGTGCATCTGCCTGAACTATAGCTGGCTTGGCATTGAACTTAACTGAGTCTCTTTTTTTTTTTTTTAAATTTCATGGAATCCAGCCCTGGTGGCTGCTATCATTACAGGGTGTGCTGTCAGTTTTTTTAGATGAAGGCCTCTCCCACCCAGTTTCCTCTGCCTTTTGAAAGACTTGATTATTGTTATGGCTTTGCCAGTTATCAGAGTTGGGGTTTAGGGGGCCTTGTAGGATTTAGTTTCCTATAGCAGTGGTGCCATTCAGAAAGTCTTGGTCTATCTGCCCATGTTATTTTTATTCCCATCCCATCTCCTGTGTTCTCCCTCTAACTCAACCCTGATATTAAAAAGCAATAAATTTAGATTTCCTGTTTTGGTTTTAAACTCCTGAAAATTTAAATGTTCTATTCTTGTAAAACAGAAAATTGGCCTATTCTTTTCTCAACCCACCATCTGCCACTTTTCTCAGAAGTTATGGGGAGAGAGGTTAATGATCTAAATAGCTACATGATGGCATTACTTTGAGAGTTGATTTTAAGGTGAAGGAGGCTGGGGGGACGGGGAGTTCTCGTTTGTTTGTTTGCTGATAGATCACTCAGGTTCTAAACAGTCTTCCCAAGTTTCTCGGAGTATTTTACTTTTGAGAATTATTTAGCAGCATGTGTAAAATATAGGCATTTATGTTCCCCTCCTACATTTTACCACGTTGACATGGCTTTTTACTTCAGGATGTCATGGAATTCCTAGAAGTCCATTTAGTAATGTGTTTAGCATCCACTTTCTGAAACCACCCTCAACTGAGGCCATAGGAAGAGTGAAGATCCTTCATGCCCTTGTTTGATATCTCAAAAAACGGAGAGAAGCTCAGTTTAAATTGCACAGTACTGGAGAGGAAGCAGTTTAAACTGAGCTTCCGTTCTCCCAAATTCAAACTTTCAAAATGGTCTTGGTGGCTTATAAATGTCTGCTTTCTGCACATGTCTTAAATCTCCATTAGGGTTGTAGTTTAATGTCTAACGAAGAAGAGCCTTTCCAAATTGAATCTCTCAATGTGCAAGCTGCTTTAGAATTATACTTATGTCTTTGCAGTCTGCATTGAAGTGAGTAAAGGACATAGGAGAAGGTAATGAAAGCCCTGGGGCACCTCTTTCTTGCAGATGTATTTATGTTCATGCATTTTTCCTGTCCAGGGCAGAGTGAAAACAGCTGTGTGGTTGGCATATATGTATAGAGTTCATAAAATCTGCTTGATCTAGATTATGCTGTTAGCTAATTTCTTTGGAAAAAGTGACATGAGCACTCATGCCTGTGTCTGTTAGAAAGCCGTAGAGAAATTCCCAGAGTGGATGCTAATAAACTCTACATTTTCAACTGAGCGTTTCTCTGAAATTTATTGCAAAAAGCACTCCAATGGCCCAGACACAAGCCTGCTGAGTATGCATAGTATCACTATTTGCATTGGTTCCATTACACCTTTCTTGGGCCTTTAGCTCTGTGACACATGAAGCTTATGATCACCATAAGGATTTGATGCCTATGATATTCTAATGCCATTAGAGCTCCTTTGAGCTAAGGCACATCATAGTGCAGAGCAATAGGGGACGATTCTTACAAAGCAAAACGTTCAGTAACAGATCAAATTCAGGAAGACCATAGCATGTGTGTGTGTGTGTGTGTGTGTGTATATATATATATATATATATATATATATATATATATCCATCCCTTACTAAACGTCATGGTCACAGCTGTCTAATCCTCTACAGGGTCAAAGTCCAGCTAACTTATTTTAAGTCCGTAGGGTGGAAAGTATTTTCTACATCTTTTGTGCCTTTGCAAAGAATTGTACTGCCCTCCTTGCAGATGGTGCCTGTATTAAGTCATCTGTGCTAGCAGGTGTAATGCCTGTCAGATGACTGAAATAATTTATTTCGGTCATGGCTTTTCTTTTTGATCCTAGAGCAAGGAATCCTGCCCGAGGTTTTGAGTCTCCAACCAATCAAACTTCTTCATGTTTATGCTGGATGAGCTGCCCGACATGGAAACTGACCCCTGCTACAGTGACAACAGCATTAGTAGAGACAGTTGCAGTTCAGGGTTTGTCGTCTTCCTGGTGCTAATTTTAATCTCTACGTACGCCCATGCAGATCAGCCTGGCTGGGTCATGTGGGCATGATTCTGAACCCTTTGCTTGCACTGAGTAGTGTTTACTCAAGCAATAGTCCCTTTGACTTGAAGTGGGACCATTCAAAAGTTCAGTATACATAATGGATTGCAGAACAAGGCTCTTTAATGGTACAGCAGCATGGCAAGCAGAAACCCGCGGCAGCAAGTCTGAGCCTGGGGCTATGCACTCAGGCTCCCACTCTGGTATTAAAAATCGCTGTATAGACACATGGGCTCTGAGGAGCATCACATGAGCCAGAGTCTGTAGACCCATCTCTGAGACTTGCTTGCTGTAGATTCACACCTTGGCTGGCTATGCACTAACTCGCCATGTAGAGAAAGCCCTAAGAGTTAGTTACCCCAGGGACTAAACGCCACTTAAACTTCTAATACAGACGTTATGTGGTGCAAAGGGCCCAGGGTAACTTCTTTGCACTAGGTTAAACTTCACTCTAATGTTGACAATCACTTCTGCAGCTTTATTTTGATTTCATTGCTAGTGATAAGCCTTTCCTGTACCTGCATGTCTATTGGAAAGATGTGTGGCTTTGAGTAATTTCCATAAATATGTGCAGGAAAAAATAACTCAGGGTGAACGTATATGGTTTATACTATACGATGCTAAGGCTTGTGTAATCTCCCCAAGGGCCTCCTGCTGTAGAGCTATAGGTTAAGCTGATACGGCATGATCCTGCATTTGTTAGTGTACCTGGGTTAGGAGCCTTAAGCCTTTTCCGTTTTTAAAGGGGGGGTCCTGTGTTTTCTTTTGAACGAGACTTGGCTATTGCTCTTTCCTACTAATGGTCGTCCTTGAGAACTTCCAGTTCAGTGACTAAGCAAATACCAAGACCATGGAGGGGAAGAGGGAAGGATCTCACTGCAGTAATTCTCCCTGTTATAAAAGAGGCTTTGTTTAAATGAGTGCGGTAGCAGAGGAGCCTGCCTTGGGTTTGTCTCCCCAGCCATCTCTGCAGTATATGGAAGTGGTGAGCCTGAAACTTCAGGAGCGGAAACTTGGCTTATTTTAGTTTTTATTAATGCATGGCAATAGTGATGCCTAGAACAGAGTCAGATATTTGGGAAGGTGATGGAAGCAGTATTTTATCTCCACAGGCTCTGTGCATGGTCCCTGAGCACCTGTTTCTGCTAAAATTACCATGATAAATGACAGTTTCAGAGGGGTAGCCGTGTTAGTCTGTATCTGCAAAAACAACAAGGAGTCTTTGTGGCACCTTAGAGACTAACAAATTTATTTGGGCATAAGTTTTTGTGGGCTAAAACCCACTTCATCAGATGCATGGAGTTCACTGCATAAATGAGTGATATTGATGCTCAAATTGTTGTCAATAAGGTACAGAATTAATACCCTCTTCAGAGGGAGGTACTTATTTCTATAAACTGCACCAAGAGGCCCCAATCAGGAGCCATGGTTTTGTTGTGTTACACACCGTAAAGAGTTCTTATGTCCTAAAGTTCTTATGATCTTGGTTAATGACAAGATGCCACAGGTGCATGAAACAAATGGCAGTGGGGGGGAGGGGGGGGTTTACTGGAGGATGAGGCAACAATATGAGCATGACCAGCTGTTCCTGCAATACAGCTCTTTGCCTGCCTAGCCACCAAATGGCAGTAAGGAGACTTTGCTGTGCCTGCAGATCTACTGCGTGGAGGACGTGCAGACCAAAACCCCTGAGTTACTGCTATTTTAATGACTGCACGTTAGATGGTCCCTGCCCCCAAAGCATTTTATTTTTTACTTCCGTAAAGCAGGTTAAAACAGGGGAAGGCTCATCCTGAGGTTTAGGGCCCTGCGCTAAGACTTGTGACCTTGGGCAAGATACTGAATCTCTGTGTCTCCATTCCCCTTTGCTGAAATGAAGATTTCCTTACCTGTGACTGCTGTGAGAACCAGTTCATTAACATTAGGGTGGTGCTCAGATACTATCATGACTGGGGCCATAGACCTACTGTGACAGTGAAATTCAGATCAAATGTTTGAACCTAGCAAAATCTCGGTTGTAGGGGTGGGAGAGGAGACGTCCACATGGCAGTTTTTGGCTCAGCCTGTTATAACCCTGCCCAGGGTTTGGAGAGAAGAACACCTGCCACACACACACACACACTCCCCATTAAACTTCACTTTGTGCTCAAGCACTTCTGCACTGAGGACTACGTGAGGTTGGTTTGCTGGTTTTTTAAATATCCTTAGTATAGTCTCATTTGTAGAAAAGAGATTAGTTTCCCCTTCTACTTTTCTGCAACCTCTCTGTGCTGTGGATGACCAGTCTGGTTAGAAGAACAGAAAACACAGAAGCCTCTGTATCCCTGTCCCCTCTCTTTTGGGAGGGCTGCAAGCAAGCAGCTGTCAGAACTCAACATTACAGTGGATGTTCGTAAGTGGGGGTAAGTGCTTTCCCTCACTGCGTATAGACCGTCATGGGGAGATGTTCACCTCTGGCCTTGGCTACACTGGCGCTGTACAGCACTGCAACTTGCTGCGCTCAGGGGTGTGAAAACGCGCCCCCCCCCGAGTGCAGCGCTGTAAAGCGCCAGTGTAATCAGCGCCTGCAGCGCTGCACGCTCTCTCACAGCGCTGCAAGCTACTCCCCTCGGAGAGGTGGAGTACATACAGCGCTGCAAGAGAGCTCTCGCAGCGCTGGCGGCGCGACTACACTCGCGCTTCACAGCACTGTGAATCCCCAAGTGTAGCCAAGGCCTCTTCTGTTTCATGTGGTGTGCTGACATCTGCTGGATGTTGAGGCTCTGTCCTGATAAAACCACTGACACTTTTTTTTTTTTTTATGCATTTAAAGTAATAACCCAGCTGGGATCCATCTTAGCCTGGAGGGCCTTGATACAATATGGAAATGAGAGTTAAAGAGCACTTCATGTAATACCTTTATGCAGGGGAGTTACTTAAGCTAGAATCTGGCTGGCTCCTCACATGTGCGGTAGGGCCAGAATGTTTGGCTTGCATTCATTTCCTAATACTCCATGTGAGTGAGGCTGGCATCTGTGCATCTTTCATTCGGTGTTGAAGCTAATGGGTTCTAGTCTTGGGGAAAACTGAAAATGGAAGTCCCTTTCCTATCAATATTTAATCCATGTGCACACAGAATAACTGTTCCCTGCCTTGGTCCTGGGTGGAGCGGTTGTAAAAACACACATCCTATCACAACTCTCCCCTCAGCTTTGCTTTTACCTAGCAACCTGAAGGGATGATGACTCATGGAAGACTGTCGTAAGGTTAAAATGACGACAAGTGGGATTGGAGCCAGGAAAATAGTTGGAATGTCTCTGAAAATATTTTCCCCCATCACGTTACTAAATACATCATTTTCACTGTCCAAGAAAACAGTCCTGCTTGAAGAAACTGAACTACACTGTCCAGCCTTGCGTGGGAAGGTCCTGAGCCAAAGCTCATGGAAGTCAGTAGTAGGACTTTAGTTGACTTCAAGTAGTATAGGATCAGGCCTCTACCCTTGGAGGATTCCCATCCATGGAAATAACCGTCATGCTGGAGAAAGTTGTGCTGGGGTTACAAGCACAGGAACACTACCACTGACTGAGGTTTGGGAGCATTATCCTAAAAACAGGTGCCAAGTTAGAGCTGGTACAGAACACTACGTTAACAGTCCTCACAGTGCCCAGGGGGGAGGCCATGGCTTCTCTCATAAGAGTAATGGATAAACATCACTGTCCTGGCCAAATTCTAATTTTGGTGATTTCAATCTGTTTACCTAAACTAACGTCCTGTGCTTTCAAATGGATACAGTTACAGCATTTACTTCCTGTCCTGAATTGATCTGCACTGCTAGACAGCTGCTGTGTTCCAGTGCAGAGCTGACTACTGCAGCAGTGGATGAAGTGATATTTTTACCAGTGTAGAAAATACTTTGAGACAAAATACACAAGTTTGAAGGATGGATACTGATGTGGTGCTGTAAATCCTATATGGAGAAACTGTCAAAGCACGTTTTCTGATAATACAGTATATTCTTCACTCAGCACAAAATTACTGTGGGACTCATTGCCACAGGATCTCATAATGCCAAGAGATCAGTAATAGTCAAAAAAGCACTGCACATTTATGTGGTACACAGGCCTAGTTACAATATTACAAAACAAACAAAAACCAACAGGATGTGTAAAGAACATATAAACACTTAAATTTTGGGGCATAACCCAGCCTCTTGGGGATGAGGAAGA